TCTTAGTAAGTCTGGCTAAGGGTTTGTCAATCTTGTTTATCTTATCAAAGAACCAACTCTTTGTTTCACTAATCCTTTCTACTGTTTTTTTGGTCTCAATTTCATTTATTTCTGCTCTAATTTTTATTATTTCTCTCCTTCTGCTAACTTTGGGCTTTGTTTGTTCTTCTTTTTATAGTTCTGTTAGGTGCAATTTAAGGTTGCCTATTTGGGCTTTTTCTTGTGTGTTGAGGTGGGCCTGTATAGCTATGAATTTCCCTCTCAGGACCAATTTTGCTGCATCCCTTATGAGTTGGTGCGGCATATTTTCATTTTCGGTTGTTTCCAGATATTTTTTGATTTCTCCTTTAACTTCATCAAGGATCCACTGGTTGTTCAGTAGCATGTTGCTTAGTCTCCACATCTTTGTCACTTTCCCAGTTTTTTTCTTGTGGTTGATTTCCAGTTTCATAGCATTATGGTCTGAAAAGATGCTTGTTATGATTTCAATCTTCTTAAATTTATTGAGGCTTGCCTTGTTTCCCAACATATGGTCTATCCTTGAGAATGTTCCATGAGCACTTCAGAAGAATGTGTAGTCAGCTGTTTTTGGATGGAGTGCTCTGTGTATGTCTACTAGGTCCATCTCGTCCAGTTTTTCATTTAACTCCACTCTTTCTTTATTGACTTTTTGTCTGGATGATCTATCCATTGATGAAAGTGGGGTATTAAGATCCCCTACTATTATTGTGTTGTTGTTAATATCTCCTTTTAGGTTTGTTAATAGTTGCTTTATGTATGTGGCGTGCATATGTTTATAATTGATATGTCTTCTTGGTGGAGTGTCCCTTTTATCATCATATATTGCCCCTCTTTGTCTCTCTTAACCTGTTTTATCTTGAAATCTACTTTGTCTGATATGAGTAAGGCAACACCTGCTTTATTTTGTTTGCCATTAGCTTGGAATATTGTCTTCCATCCTTTCACTCTGAGCCTGTGCTTGTCTTTAGAGCTGAGATGTGTTCCCTGGAGGGAGCATATTGTTGGGTCTTGTTTTTTAATCCATCCTGCCACTCTGTGTCTTTTGATTGGTGAGTTCAATCCATCTACATTTAGAGTAATTATTGATATATGAGGGCTTAATGTTGCTGTTTTATCACTTATTTTCTGGTTCTTTTGCATTTCCTTTGTTTCTTGTACCATGTGTTTTGGACTGCCAATTCAGTTTGGTTGTTCTGTCTTATGACTCTTTTAGTTTTCTCTTTACTTATCATATGTGATTTTGTTCTGATTATTTGTTTAGTGATTATCTTGAGGTTTGTATAAGACACAAACGCAAAGGCCCTTATGAGATAGTCCATTATCTGATGGCCTCTTATTTCCTCATACTAAGTCAATTCGATCTCTTTCCTCTTCCCCTTCTAAGTTATTCTTGTCACAACTTATTCTATCTTGTGTTGTGGGTGTGTGTTTACAGTGATGAGGTTATATTTATTTTTGGTGATTTCCTTCCTTTGATCTTTGATTTTGTTATTTAAATGGTTGCTAACCTATTCCGGTAAAGATCTATCTACTATTTTTCTGATTTTGTCTACCTATTTTTCTCCTTGCTCCAAGCTTTGTATTCCCTTTCTCTTCTGTTTTTCAGGCCTGAGGGTATTCTTGAGCATTTCTTGTACTGGGGGTCTCGTGGCCATGAACTCCCTTAGCTTTTGTTTATCTGGGAAAGTTATTATTTCTCCATCATATTTGAAGGATATTTTCGCTGGATAGAGTATTCTTAGCTGAAAGTTTTTGTCTTTCAGTATTTTGAATATATCATTCCAGTCTCCTAGCCTGTAAAGTTTCTGTTGAGAAATCTGCTGAGAGCCTGATGGGAGTTCCTTTGTATGTTATTTTTTGTTTTTGTCTAGCTGCCCTTAATAATGTTTCTTCGTCATTGACTTTTGCCAGCTTTACTACTATGTGCCTTGGAGTGGGCCTTTGCGTGTTGACATATTTAGGTGACCTACTGGTTTCACTTACTGGTATTTCCTGCTCCTTCCCCAGATTTTGGAAGTTCTCAGCTATTATTTCCTTGAACAGGCTCTCTGTTCCTCTTTCCCTCTCTTCTCCCTTAGGAATACCTATAATTCTTATGTTACATTTCCTAATTGAGTCGGATATTTCTCGGAGACTTTCTTCATTTCTTTTTAGTCTTAGTTCTCTCTCCTCCTCCACTGGGAGCATATCTGTATTCCTATCTTCTATAATGCTAATCCTTTCCTCCATATTGTCAGCTCTGTTCTTTAAAGATTTCAGATTCTCCTTTATCTCCTCCATTGTGTTCTTCACCTCCAATACTGATTGGTTTTTCTTTATGATTTCAATCTCTTTTGTGAAGAAACTCCTTATCTTGTTGAATTGTTTATCTGTGTTTTCTTGTATTTCGTTGAGCTTTTTTATGATAGCTATTTTGAATTCTCTGTCATTTAGGTTATGGATTTCTGTGCCTTCAGGGTTGATTTTTGGGTGCTTGTCATTTTCCTTCTGCTCTGGCAATTTAATGTACTTTTGCATCGTGGTTGCTGTATTGGCTTTGTTTTTCCTCATCCTGGAAACATCTGGTTGCAGTTTCCACCTGCCTTCACTGTGGGGGGTCAAGGGCTGTGTGATCTGAGCAACCTGCGCACCGCTGCAGCTGCTCCACCACCACGGGCCACCTGCGTTCTGCCCCAGCTGCTCCGCTGCCAAAGGGCCGGGCATGCAGCGGGGAGTGGCTCTTTCTTTTGCCCGCTGGGTCCCTGGGGGGGGGGGGCTTCTCGCTATCCCCTCGTTATCTGCTCTCCTGGGGTGTTCAGATGTTGATGGCAACCCTGCAGCAGTTCTGAGTCCTCTTGGGAGTTTCCCACTGGCTGAGAGAGCCTGAAGAGCTACAGTTTCCCCTCAGAGGGCTGCCGCTCCCCATTCTCTGGGAGCCTCGAGATCTGAGTCACTGATCTGATGGGGAGGGAGAAGATTTCTCCTTACCTCTCCCCACTTCCTCTGGGGGCCCCAGCACGTCCACTCTCAGATGTGCGGCAGCGTGGGTCTTTCCAATGTCCCTTTGTGCTGTGTGAGTGTCTCTTGTTGGTCTATGATTGACCTTTTTGTTGTATCTTATCAGGGGGAAGAGTTTACGGGAAAGCTCACTCCACCATGATGCTGACGTCATTCAGGATGACTTTAAATAGTGTGCCCACATTTAAGTGATTGGATTTACCAAAATTCTTACACACATTTTTCTAGACACACAGTTTTCTAGAAATATGTTTATTGAGCAAAGAACAATATACCTATTTAAGGTATAATGATAGAAGGCACTAAAGCTATTTCTAAATATTTTTAGATTACCTATAGATTTCACTTATTATGTTGATGTCCCCCCTTTATCATGAACAAATAGAGTTATCTGACTGCTGCAAGTTTCAGCTAGTAACTTCTACAACATGGACAGAAATACGATGGACACAGACACGAAGTATCTTAACTGGGTGACACCATACCATTGAGATATCCTGATAGACTCTTAACCATACAGTTCATAGGTCTATCATTTAGAAAAAAGCATTGGGGCACAACAACCAAGCACAGGACATGAGGAACAGGGCAAGTTTTTCATACCTCTTCATCTTTCATATTCACATCCACATTTTTCGATTTGATGACTTTGCTTATATGGTCAATGTTGTTTTCCCTGCAGTAATCAAATATGTTTTTGTCTTCTTCCCTAATTAGAATAAAAACAAAAAAAGTGTCTTACACAAAAGTTACATATTTTTAATACAACCTGTTTGCTGCTGACAAACATTAATGGAATCTCTGTTTTTATGAAGAATTTTACATGAAAAATAATGGATTTTCAATAAGACAATACATCCAACCTCTGAAAAGATTAAAGTTCTTAGTAACTATAATTATAGGGAAAAGCTTCATCTGCTTTAACAAGTTATACTAGTACACTAATATAACATCTTGAATAAATTTTCTCAGTGCTTGTTCTCTCTACTTTTACACACTGACAGGAACATATTTCTTCTGACTCGGAATGTTCAATTGTAGCACTGCAGTAAAGTCATTTACTATTGTCTGCACAAAGGTATCAAAAGATCAGGACACAGCTTACTACTTGTCTGAGGATAACAGAACGATAAGTTGCCTGCTACCCAAGTTTAAAATATATACACTACAGTAATTTTCTTAAAGGAAAGATAATTAGAGCATCACAAAATTCAGAAATCCTTTGTGAGATAACAGAAACAAAGACAAGGAACAAAAACTGTGAAGCATACTATATACCCAGCACCATTCGTGTATCGAGGTACTAATTCATTTATTCTTATCCAGCAACTTTGCTTCACAGATAAAGAAACAGGTAAGCAGAGATTATATGACCTGCAAAATGGCATTGCATTTATCAAAGGTAGAATAAGAGCTAGAACTCACTCAGATCAACTGGTTTTGTATACAGCACATTTTTCTATTATATCAAGCTACATCTTGACTAATAAGCTGTAGTCTATTCCAGAATCTAAAGCAGAAGCTCTTAATATAAGGTCTATGTGTTCTCTAAAATGGTATAGAGAATTATCCGTGTCAATGCATGTGCATTTTTCTGAGTGTGTTGTGGGGCGGGGGGGACCGGGGGGTAGCTTCCATGAGATTCTCAAAAGGATGGAAACTCCCAAAAGGTTCAGTAATTTGGAATATTAACAATGAAACTGCTCTATATGTGAACTGCATTTTCCAGACAGGCATAAAAGAATGCAATGTGAGTTCCAAAAATTTTAACTAGTGTGTTTTATAACCTGCAAGGTCATAGCTTCCATTCATCAGAAATTAAAGCACCTGGCCAAAGGAGTCCTCCTATCTTAAAAGCCAATTTAAATACCTTATACCCTATAAAAGTTATTTCCAATGAGAGGTAATTAACTTAAAACACACTACTTTGGCATTAACCACCTAAACTTTCCTTATGTATGTGATGTATTTAATTGAGCACCTACTACATGCAAGGCACTCAGCAAGATTCTATTGATAACAGGTAACAGGAATAAGCATGCAACTTTGCATTCAATACATGTACAGTCTAGCTGAGATGATAAAATCTATACACCATTAATATAAGGCAAAACTGGATCTTTAAAAAGGCCTGTAAGAGTACAGAGGAGAAATAGCCCGCTTCAAGCTGGAGACAATGAGGTAGGTTTCCAAGAAGAAATCATGTTTAAAAGGAATATATGGTCTCTTGAAATGACCATTTTGCAGAAGAGAAAATGCTTTTCCAGGTCACTTATTCTGAAAGAAAATTAGAGAAGTCTGAGGCCAAAATGCTAGAAAGGAAAAGTCTGATTTTTAAAATTAAGGTTGCATATAATAGCACTTTAGCTGTATCTAACTATCATAAAAAACACTGTTTCTATGAAAAAGTGCATTCAGAATTCCCACTTGGGAATAACAGGGACCTATTTTCCTCCAATCCACTAACAGAGACCCTTCTAATTCAAGCAGCAGCAACTTCAACTGTAAGAGAAACGACTGTGTCATTTTAAGTCATCACAAAAAATATACTACTCACCAATCATTTTGAATTTGAAAATAATGGGGAGTTGGTGGTGGGGCACAGAAAGGCATGTAGGGAGGACTCTTGGGATGTGGCTTACCCATACTCAGTAATATGTAAGGGTTACTTATAGATGAGAGGACCTTCCGAATGGTCCCTCTTCCTGAATCCTCAACATGCACGTCTATCTATGCCATAAGCAGTAAAAGAGTAAATACAGTACAAACTTATTTAAATTTTTAATTTTTGCTTAATATATTTTCAATATGTTTCTTATATGCAACATTTATAGCAATTATTTTGTTTTGGCATGTGAATTTTTTAGGGCAGAGGCATTTTTTCATCAGAATACCTGTTTATCATCTGTAGTTTATTTATCATCACTAAATATGTCAGGTAAATTTTATAAATAGAGGTATTTATAAAATACTTCAGAGTAGAGTACACAATGTAAATTAAATACCAAAAATAAATTCAATAAAATCACCACAAATGTGCTACAAAGCTGAGTGACTAACATAAAAAAAAATTAAGTGATACTCTTGGACTTAGTTGTTAAATATAGTTATCTACCCCAACTCCAAGTTTTGACTACCTTACTTGCCAGCAACCAAGCTGTCTTTATACAATGTCACCACCTAGTGCCCAAAATGGAGAAACATCTGGAGCAACATTTTTCCACATCTCCTTTCTTGCTCCCTAACAAGATTATATGTGCAACATACAAATCAAATTCTTTTTCCCTCTACATTTCCGTTAATACAATCTTCTATAGGTGATATTTCCCTCTATAGCCATACTTAAAGGAAACGTGAAAATCAATTCAACCATTACCAAATATAGTAGAGTCTTAATAAATGTTAGCGCCTTTCTACATCTCACTTTATCTTCCGTTCTCTTACCCAGTTATCTTTCTCCCTCTCTTTGCTGAATGTGAGTGATAAAATCATCATATCCATTCTCTATGGATGAGTATAGTTACGTTTGTGATGCTACTCTCAAGGATGTCCCACATTCCCCCTAGCACAAGACAGAAAGTCTCTCTTTAGATTACTCCAAATTTTCTGAAATGGACAGAAAATACATTTTTGTATCTGAAGGAAAAAATCATTGGCTTTCTTTGAAATCCTTTTTTTTTTTTTTTTTGGTGAGGAAGACTGGCCCTGAGCGAACATCTGTTGTCAATCTTCCTCTTGTTTTGCTTGAGGAAGATATTGCTGAGCTAACATCTGTGCCAATCTTCCTCTATTTTTTTGTATGTGGGATGCCACCACAGCATGGCCTGATGAGCAGTATGTAGTTCCGCGCCCAGGATCTGAACCTGCGAACCCCAGGCCACCAAAGTGGAGTGTGCGAACTTAACCACTACACCACTGTGCCACCCCTTTTTGAAATTCTTTTGAAATATAAGGGCACACCCTTACGGAAAAAAGTGATGGTGTTTAAGTATGGTTGTCTTTCATCAATCACAGGAAGTAGAGATCCTTGCCTACTCTTAAAAATGCTAACTGCACCACTTTGTAGAAAGATTGCATTTTCCTATCAAAAGAATATTTCAAATAGTTAGGTTTCATGGCAAGCCACCTAAAGTCCATTTAACTACTATTTCATCTCCCTTGTAGAATTAAAAAACACATTTATGGGAATAGCTCAGAAATCAAAATATTTAATAGATACATTGAATAAATATTTCAATTCAATTCATATATTTATCAAGCAACTGGCAATCACATATAAAAACAGTATTCCAGTAAACAGACAATAAAAAATTATTTACTGAATGAATGAAAACACAAAGAAGAGTAAGCCAATACCTACACAAATATAAACAAATGCCACAAATTCCTGAAACTAAGGAATGTATACCCAGGGCTCTGGGGTACACAAAGACCTTTAAAGGGATATGCAGGTATGGAAAATTGTAAGAGAATCAATTTCAGCTCAACTTCTAAATAAACACATTCTTTTCTAAACTGATCTTTTCTAAACCTCCTGTGGCAAATACTTCATCAGCATTCTCCTTTTCAATACTCCCTCTGCTCAATCACTCTGCTTCTTTATAAAAGAAAGGCATACACCTCTGTAATTTCTATGGTATACTTCTAGGAAGTATAACCAAAAGACTTCACTAAGATTTAGCAAATGACTGTTAATTAAACTTATTACTCTTTTGCTTAAAAGGACTGTTTAACTAATATATTAGGAAAGGTTTGGGGAAAAAAATTAACCCCAGGTTGCACGGTCCCAAGATATAAAATCTTCCATGGTACCAAATAAATGGAAAATTTTGGTGAAAAATTGGTGTTGGGAAGTCTTTTATAACTAAGGTTAGAGGATGAAAAAGGTGAAATAAACAAAACAAAAAACAGACTTGATGCTGAATTTATTCTCATTCTAAAAGAATGAACTGTCTCATTCTAAAAGAAACAATATTCATCTGTTAAACAATTTTTAAAAGCCTTATCTATCTCATTAAGACACAGTTCCAATAAAATTTTACTTATGCTTAATAAGTAACAAAATTTATAATGTATTTTGATCAACTGTAAAGAAATAATAAGTACAATGATAACTCAAATGAGAAAAAATTTAATGCTTAAAGCTTTTGGGTCACCAAAAATTAAATTTTTAAAAATTCCAACTTACATACATAATTTTGTTACAGAGAATTATGATAGTGTGATTAAGACTATACAAAGATATATTACTTAAAATAAAATGTGGGAAAAGTAGACTAAAAGGAGAAAAAGGGATGATGTAAAATTTCTAACTGTTAAAGACCTTGTTCATATATTTTTCAATCAAGATCAGAATTTTATTTTTTAATTAAACTTTTTATTTCAACACAATTGAAGATTCATATGCAGTTGTAAGAAATAATACAGAGAGCTCTTGTGAAATATTTACCCAGTTTCCCTCAATGGTAACATGTTTATGTATTTAAAAACATGGATTATCATTATAGTATTTAGATTCCACTGGATATATCTAAAAGAGTGATTTTGGGGGGGGTGGTGAGGAAGATTAGCTCTGAGCTAACATCTGCACCAACCCTCCTCTATTTTGTACATGGGTCACCGCCACAGCATGGCTGATGAGTGGAGCCGGTCTGCACCTGGGATCCAAACCTGCAAACCCGCGCAGCTGAAGCGGAGCATGTGGAACTT